TTACCATTACCATTACCATTACCATTACCATTACCACTTCACCTCCTGTACATGGGGAATCAGCTTAGAAGTTTCTGTGTGTTTGGGACCAATAGAGGGACAATCTACAGTAACATCAGTTGGAGCACTTAATAATTAAAATTATACATATAGTCCTGAAATATTTTGTTTTTGATGTAAAACAAACCTTCATTCATCAGTGATATTTTGAGATCCGATCAATTCTTTCCTTGAGTTTCGGTTGGCTAGCTAACACCTCATACTAAATATGCTAGCACCCCCTTTTCTATAAGTATTGCTGGTCCACTCAGTTTCACCCAACCAACTCAAAGATATCAGTGAACCTAATTGATTAGAAGTTTCTTCTGAATACTTGCCTCATTTCATTTTTACAAGTTGTCTTGTCTACTTCAAATTCCACAGTCGGTTGCTTTGCTTGTTGCTGCTTTCTGTAGAGTATTTTTTGTATGGAGGAGGTCCCATCTTGATGAAGCCATCCCAAAGTATCCAATAGTGACCTTTTACACTTATGTTCATTGGTTGAGATATTTAATTAAATTACCTTATGTTACTTACAATTATAACTGGCATAAGCCAGTTCTGCAACAGACATGTGACTGACTTTTGTTAGGCGTACAGCTCTTCTGGGAAGATCAAGAGGGAGATGGCATGCTGGAGGGTCAGCACAGCGTGGAGCTCCTGGGATAGCTGGAGGTTTGATAGAGGAAATAGAAGGCGTGGGAAACAGATTGATCACAAGAGGTCTACCTTACAAAGGGGTTGCACATGTAAAACAAAATGGAGCAAGATGTATGACAGGGTTAGGCTAAGGCTAAGACACTGGCTTTCATGTTCATTGGTTAATCAAGTTGCCAGGCCAGTTGTCAAGCAACAAGGCAGGGCTAGGAAGGCACTGGAGAGCAGCTAGTACAGCCTGCCCAGCATCATCCACCACCGCCGTCGGCTGACGTGTAAAGGACAAGCAGACAGCGGGAGGGTTGAAATCACAAACTCTTCACCACTGTCCAACAACAAGCATGGAAGCAGAGAAGGGGAATACAGAGAAGAGAGGCGCAGCCTTACATGTATTTTTAAGAAAAGAGGTTTGGAACATGTGAGGAAGAAACCCTGACCTGGGAACAAACACTGGATTTCAGGACATTCGTGTTCTGGTCAAGCACAAGTGCTCTATGCCAAATAATGGACAGCCAGGGAATGAGAAGAGGATAAAAGAAAAAAGGAAATGTCATTAAATTAAAATGTTATTTAATTCCATATAGCCCAAGCCTAAAGTACAAAAGAGGGGTGGCCTCTTGTCCTGAAATCGCTGTGTGCTTACACACACACACACACACACACACACACACACACACACACACAGAGGCAGGTGGCCTCGCCCTTGCAGAAGTGCACCCGTGGTTATCTGGAGACTACGTTACAGGGACATTTATTTGTAACCTCTCCTTAGGACTGAAATATCGTCATGTGGTGACGCAGCTATGGGTGGTGTTAAGATGATCTATCTGCTGGCATTTTCTTTACTTTTCCAGGAAATGTAAAATCAAGTAAGGTGAGGGCTGCGATGCAGCGCTCTCTCGCTCTTGCCCGTCCTCTGCCCAGTAACCGAGCCCAGACGTTCTGTGTGGGACTTGAGGCTAACCAGAGATTGAGCCCTGAACATTGAGTTTGGGCCACACAGAGTTCAGTCTTTTTACCAAAGTGGAAATTTTTCAAGTAAAACACAAAGACCCAATTGAATTGGAGGAACATAAGTTCTTCAAGGCTTTTTTTCTGTTTTTAAATTTTTTTTTGATATGGGGTCTCTCCACATAGCTCAGACTGGTAGTGATCCTCCTATCTCAGCCTCCCCAGTGCTGTCCCACAGACAGTTTTGGTTGCCTGCATGACTCCGGGGCCGGGAGGGCATGAGGTACCGGGAATTGAACCCAGATTCTTGTGCTTCCCAGACAGGCGCTTAGACCACTGAGCTATCTCCCTAACGCTTTTCCTGTATTTTAAAGGAATGTCAAAAATTTCCAAAACACTATTTCAAGAAACCAATATCAACAACAAAAAGAAACCAACAATATCATGCCCAGTTTCCTAGAAAAATATAAATTCCATTCACATTATTAGTTATACATTTTGAATGCCTCCTGTCTAAAGACATGAACACTAGAACTATTTCAAATTTCAGATTCTTATTTTCAAATTTGGGGTTATTTGCATAAATTTTGCCCATTGAGAATTCATAATCTGAAAATCCAAATTTCCATATTCTCCAAAATCAGAAACTATTTTTTGAGTGTGATATGATGCTTGGGAAGTTTCAGATTTTGGATCATTTCAGAATTTGGATTCCAAATTAGGGTGCTCAGTCTCTACCAGTATTTATGTGGTTGCTTCTAGTGAGGACACAGCTCTAGTGATTGGGCTGTCCAGCCCCCACCCTCTGCCCTTTGGGGTAAGGTAGAAAAAGTCAGCACTAATGCACAAACGGGTGCACCAGACCCACATGGCAAGGGCAACAGGGAACATCAGGAAGGTGCCTGGGACGAGGCCTAGCAACAGCACTCGAGAAAGGGATCCCCCTGGACCTCTGAGCTTGGCCTCCTGGAATCCTCAAAAGTAATGTGAACAGCTGCAGAAAGAATGATTTCTTGTTTTCATATGTGTTTGCAAACTTGTGTTGGGAAAACCTCATTCCACAGCACTGAAGACTTTAGAACTATTTGAATTAACAAGACAAAACCCTTGAAAGATTCCTGCAACATCCAAATGACCAGTGACTAGAAAGTCAGTCATTTCATCTTGCTTAGTTTCCTTCATGTCAATAAAAAGCCCCAGGGAATCTCAAAAACATGCTTCTCCCCCAGACTCTTACTCAATAGAGACATGAGTCAAAGGATGACAGGAGTAGCCTGGATTCTGTGCTCTGATTTGCTGTTTTGTTGGTTGGAAGTCCCTGACATCAAAACATTCCTTGAAAACTTCTGTCTTCTAAAAGAATCCTGGCTCTTGATAAGATATCTTCGCCTGTTTTTCTGGTTTACCAGCACATGTTGGGTACATTCAGCCTCAAAATTGCCATGTTCCAGTAAAACGTGAGTGCAGTTCTGTAGAATAAAATAATGTAAATACTTATGAGAAAATGTCATTCTTTGCCTTGGCCACCTCTGATTCAAAAAGGGGTTGCTGTGGCTTTGGCCTGGCTGGCTCTTCCCAGGTCACTCACTGGGTTTATGTGACATTTCCTGAGTTTTACAAAGAGAGTGTGGAACAAACTCCTGCGTTTGCCTGCCCATCTCCCCAAAGCCTGAAAATAGTCAATATTGACCCCTGTACCAAAAACAAACAATAAAAACCAAACAAACCACCCCGGACATAAAATAACACTGTTTCTTCTGAGCGTGGGTTTCCTGTGCTGAGTGGGAAGCATTTCTCCAGTGCTCCCTGGAAGATTTTCTTAGATTTACAGCTCAAGAGAAATCCCCATGAGGTGCTGTCCTCCCAAGAACTACACTTGCTGATGAAATCCTTTCTTCATGTCTGTGATTCCTCCCTGAATCATGTATGGCAACTTCTAAGACCTGGCCTTCTTCCTGAAAATTTCCCAATTGATGTAAAGGGAGGTACTGCTTCATTTGTAGACATCATTCACCCAAGAGAATCAAGAGTTTAGTGCATATGATCTTCACAGAAGATGTCAATTTTTAAATTCAAATTCAAATCATTAGCTTATGGAACCTCCAGCCCTGGCTGACCGTCTGTGTATTCCTGGTGCATGACTCCAAGGAACATTCAACAGAGCTCTGCTGCATAAATGAGCAATGATAAAAATGGCACTAACAAAATCACATAACTCCACACGTCATCTGTCTTTTACTTCATGATGGTTTGGGTCATCAGGAAGTCTTAGAGCAGGAAAACTCAGCTATCCTCTATTCCCAAGTACAGCTACTGTGACCTCTGCTTTTAGAAGTTCTAATTGCCTCCCTGTTTTTCCCATCTTCTTCACCTGATCTTCTAGATTGCATTAACATGTATTTTTCCTACAATTTATTTATTTTCCTACTCCTTTGGTAGGATTGTAAACTCCACAAGGGCAGAAAACAGTATTATTCAGAACCATGCATCACGTGCCCTGAATTCTACCTAGAATACTAAGGTTTACTGACTATTGATCCAATCCACAAAATGAAAGTGTAATTATTAGTATATTCTCCATACGTCAGAATCAATGCCAGAGTGTTTTCTTTGGTTTGGTTTTATTCACCAGACCTAACTTCCATGAAATCAGGATATTTAAGTGCGTGCATTCTAGGAGTCTATGTCTTTCACAATGGGCATAGGTGATTTGGGTGTAGCCACTCTGAGAACCACTCCTTGAACCAGTCCTTGTTCTAGAGAAATTCTGGAGCCCAGGAAGGTGGCGTAACGTGAAGGTCATGTAGATAGACAACAGTGCAGCTAAGCTTGATAATCTCTGTTCTGATAAGCTTTTGACTCTGCTCACCTGTGACCTGAACCTCCTATATTTGCTGCTAGCCCATCTATGCTCTTGGAGATTAAGCCACTGGAAGAAAAATGGTAGCTCCGAACTTGCTTTGTGATACACCTCAGTAGATGGGAAGTCCATTAGGCTTAAGCAGTAAGAGTCTTTCTGATTCTAACATTGACTTCACACAGAAGAACAACCCAGTTTCCATGCTAAGTTGTCTTGGTTTCTCTCTCTTCTAGTTCCTAGACATCTCCATTAAATGGACCACCCAGGAAATCTTTCCTCCAAAATATCTTCATCACGACCCGGAGACCTCTCGCCAGCTCATGTGTGAAAAATGTCCTCCGGGCACCTACCTAAAACAGCACTGTACAGCGAGGCGGAAGACCCTGTGCGCTCCATGCCCTGACCACTATTACACAGACAGCTGGCACAACAGTGACGAGTGTCTGTACTGCAGCCCCGTGTGCAAGGAGCTGCAGTATGTGAAGCAGGAGTGCAATCGAACTCACAACCGCGTGTGTGAGTGCGAGGAAGGACGCTACCTGGAGCTAGAGTTCTGCTTGAAGCACAGGAGCTGCCCGCCTGGATTTGGAGTACTGCATGCTGGTATGTTTCCGCTCCTGGTGTGCAGCAATGCCATTTACAACTATACACAGCCAGATAGTAGTGAGAGTTTTAAGGGATGCTTTTGTCCTGATGACATACGTGATAGCAGACTGCAAAGGTAATGTGACCTGTTAGATACCAACTGTGTGTCTGGACAGCTTCCAAAGGACCTTTCTCAGAGGACTACTTTGCCACTACAGGCTAATTTAGTGGAGAATCTCAATTGCTCCCTAAAGACACGCATGATAGATTGCTCTTTTTTAAAAGGAGAACACTTTGAGTTGTGCTGTTCATGTGTGATATATACCTCTATGTTCGCTGAACAGCCTCAGACTGTGATGCTTTCTGACAAACATCAGAAATGATACCAAGAGAGTAATTACACTGATATTAATGAGGCTCTGGAGTGCTAACAATGAGCAGTTATAATTAATTGTGTAAAAAATGAGAGTGGCTGGGGAAAAGCATTCCAATATTAAAAATGAAGGCAGTTCCTCTGCTGGCGTGGGAGTTGAGTGCCTGGAGGATAGACTACAGCAACTTCTCCAACCTGACTTTTCTTTTTCTTAGACAAAACAGACTGTCAAGCCAAGAGGAAGTCCTTGCCTATAAACAAAGTGCTTTCTCCCTGCATTTCCAATAACAGAGGTTAGGGTGAGGGTTCACTGAATCTATTAATACTACAATCCAATCTTTTCTACCACGGTCACATGTCCAGAGTAGACTGTAACTTCACATGGCTTGAGAAGATTAAGAGTTTTCACTTACTGAACTGAAAAAAAGGAAGGAAGGATCGCTACCGATTCAGACTGTTCACTTTGAAGCAGTGTTTCTCAATATTATTGATATTTAGGGCTGGATAATCTCTTCTGTGGGGGCTGTCCTGTACACTAGGGAGTTTAGCAGCCCGTAGATATCAGCAGCAGTTTACCTGCACTAAAACAACCCCAAATTCCTCTAGACCTTGATGCTTTGCCCTCTGGCTGGAAAAGTCTCCCTTGTAGAGAACCGTTGGCCTAATAGATGCTGGTTATCTGTAGCTATTTAACTTCCAAAAGCTAAGACATATACAGTTCATTAATAGATGACAAATATACCACACTATTTCAGTTTTGCTATCAATGTTTTGAAGTCAGATTGTCTCTTATCTGTTCAGCTTACATCTCTCTGTCTGCCAGGCAGCCCTCTAGTTCCTGTGGAGTTACCTGTGACCAGCATGGTGATTTAGGAGTTGCAAGGCTGCACTCCTTCCATCATTGCAATAGTTTGCATTTTGCCTGCCAAGTTATAATTTTTATATTTCCAATAATAACAACAAGGAAAACCATTAGTTAGATGAAAAATCTTAACCTATATACCAAAAGTTTTGCCAAATATGAAGACGGAAGTTGTATTGTATTCAGATAGGTCATGAGTAGAGCCTCTGAACATGCTGTGAAACTCTGGCTTCATGGCTCTGGGTTTCCTGCATCAAAGAATTTTAATGGCTAACTTACCTCCCCATGCCTCACACATGTGTCCTCACACACATGACCTCACACATGTGTCCTCACATATATGTCCTCACACACATGACCTCACACATGTCCTCACACACATTACCCCACATATGTCCTCATACATATGACCTCCCACATTTCCTCACACACATGACCTCATACATATGGCTTTACACATGGCCTCACACACATGGTCTCACACAAATGATGTCCCACATGTCCTCACACATGGCCTCACACACATGGCCTCACACACATGGCCTCACACATGGCCTCACACACATGACCTCACACATTTGGCCTCACACACATGGCCTCACACATGACCTCACAAAATGGCCTCACACACGTGGTGTCATACACGTGACCTCGCACACATGACCTTCTCAGTGGGATGCATGGGAAGACCACAGTAGCATGTATAGATCTGAGCAGTGATGAGACACTAACTTGGAACATGTGGCATTTGGGACAAAGGACTGTTGGATTCACATATCCAAGTCACTTGTCCCAAAGAAACTAGCAATGAATGAATGCCACAGGATTCCTGGCCAAATGTCTCTGTCAATGAAATGGCAGAATTTGGTTCTACAATTCTATTTAAGGGGAAGGGTGTAATAAGACAGGGAATTTTAAAAGAATAACAAAACAAATGCTCTGCTTTGTTCCTAAAATTATGTCACAACAATGATGAAAACATCTCATACACTCAGGCTGTGCTTCCTCATACTCTCTTCCTCCTAATCTTCCCTCCAGCCCTTTGTTCTTTTTATAGGTCAGTGAATCATCAATCTTTCTTGAAAGCAAAGAGAAAGGAGATGAAACAAGAACCAATCCATTTTGCCTCTCCCCCATTTTGGTAGAAAATACAATAAAGTAAAAGGAGGAGATATTTAATAAATGAAGTTGAATAACTATGTAGCTTTCATTTGTATTTTTTGTTATCTTCATAAGCCAAAATTAGCCTGTAAAATCTATGTCTGAATATTGAAATCTAAATCTGTTCAACTAGCTTACACTAGATGGAGATATTTTCATATGCAAATACATTATAATGTGTGATCTATCCATGCAGAATAGAGTCCAGAGTTTGAAGATACCTATTCTCCACATGTTTAGCTGTTAGATCCATTCAGATTTTCCTACCAGTGCTTTCTCCAAATTTATCAAATATATTTCACCCCGTGAGATATAAGGTCCTTGCAGGTTCTCTTCCTGAAATCTTAATGGCTTCGTGGCTGTGCTCCTTTTGCAACTGCTTAAGCAAACAGTATCTCAGCTTCTGTTTATGGGGGAACTTCCCTGCAGGCTGCTGCTTTGGATTCAGTGGCCAACTTTACCAGTATTGTCAAAACTTTATTAGAATCCTGTACGTTTTTACTCACAAGGTGAACTTGCCGATGAGTTGCTTTACAATTAGATTCGGGAAGGAAAGAACTGCAGTAGGAACTGATCAGAATTTAGCAATGCAACATTCAATAGGAGCCAATTTCAAAGAGTGATGTTATGGCAGCCAGACACACAATGGTTATCAGGATGGTTTTCAAGGATAATTAGCTGAAGATTGCAGTTGACAACGAGCCTCATGGCCACTCCAGCAGAGGCAGGACTAGTGCACGCTGTTGTCCTCTTTCTCCCGCTCATATTTTACAAGTATTTTGTAGGGAACAGCAAAACCAATTGGCATTTCTATTACAGGAAGGGGAGGCTGCCCCTAGGGTTGACTGGAGAAGTTTTGTTCTCTGCCTAATGAAGTGAAAAGCAAAGAAGCCCAAAGTTTGGTGCACTAACCATCATAGTAGCTGATAAATCCCAAGTCTTCCTGAAGCCAGATGAAAGGGTTATCTTCTGTGAAGGGTTGGAGAAGGTGCTAAAAAAGCTTGCTACTTTATGCAGGAACCCCAGAGCGAAACACAGTGTGCAGAAGATGCCCAGATGGATTCTTCTCCAATGAGACATCATCCAAGGCACCCTGCAGGAAGCACACAAACTGCAGTGCCTTAGGTCTCCTGCTAGCTCAGAAAGGAAATGCGACACGAGACAACCTGTGCTCTGCCAACAGCGAAACAACTCCAAAGTGTGGAATAGGTAATTATAGTCCAGTCTGTCAGCCTTGGTACCGCTCTCGGCTGAACGCATCAGCCTCTGGCTGTGCTATTTCTTGAATCTTGACCAGCTTACCAGCCGCTAACACCACAGCTCCAAATTCCCCTGCAGCCCCCGTTTTCTCACAGATAAGACCCCTGGCCTTGTGTCCTTTCACACTCATGGGCTGTGTCAGCTTTGCTGCTGGACACCAAATTAAAATAGTTCGAAGTGTAGCTTTTATTTTTTTTGGTGGAACCAGGGATTGAACTCAGGCCCTTGCACTTGCCAGGCAAGCGCTTACTGAGCCATCTCCCCAGCCCCTGAAGTGTAGCTTTTAAATTATGCATTTTAATCACTTTCTAGAAAATCTGTATTATTCACCTACATATAAATTGACAATGAAGGAACAAATTGACATAGACTGATGACACATTGGAAATACAGATGTGGTGTTGTTAGCACTGGCAATGTGGATTGAATTCCATGAAAGTTCCAAGGCTCTCTGGAGGTCTTAGATCCTTTCTGCAGTGTGGCTCACTAGTACCATGCTCCAAGCTCCTGAGCACATCCCTTGGAGGCGATGCCACTGATCGGACTGCAGTGTGCTCTCTCCCTGGCCCTCCTACCGGAAGACTGACCTCAGACTTTCACTGCAGGGCACAGCACAGCCAAGGTGATCTGCTTGTGTGTTAACCAAACAATGGCACAGACCAGGCTGGCCCTGCCCCGAACATCTTCTTGTACTAGATACAATTGCATGAAGCATGGGGATGAAACTTGATATATGAATGCTTGCAATGAAGTTCTAATGTTTTTTAGTTTCATAGAATTCTTAGGCAAATCATTGAGGCTTTCTGCTTTTGGGGTATCTGAAAATGAAATTAAATAAGAGTTTTAAAAAGATCAACTTCTAACTTGGACTTTCTAGCTTGTTCACTTAACTCACTTTGAATTTTGTTTTTGCAACTGATTGAGCACTGACTATGTGCCATGTCGTTTGCTGTATAGGCTTTAATAGTTACAAAAACTCATCGAAGGTTTCAGGGTTAACAGGGCTGGTGAATGGCCAAGCTCGGATTCTAAGTCATGTTTGATTAAGACACAACAATCGCCTAATGCCTGGTGTGTACTTGTGGACCTACCAAGTACTTGGACCATTTCAACACTTGATTATTTTATCATTGCTGTGCTTCTTCCCCTATTTGATGCATACTTTTGTGTGTGTGTGATTCTGAGAATCAAGCCAGGGTCCAGCACACATGGGGTAAGTGCTCTACCCCTGAGCTATACCCAAGCCCCAATGCATAGTTATAAGTCTGTGTCTACAGGTACGGAAAATAATACACTGCTCCAAGTTACTGTCCAAGTTGCTTATGGGCAATGATTATTTATTTATTTATTTATTTATTTATTTTATTGTACCAAGGATTAACTTAGGACCTTGTGTTTGCCAGGTAGGCACTTATTCTGCTGAGCTATCTCCCTGGCCCCTTAATTATTCTTGTTGTGATACTTTTAGGTACCTTGTAGAACTAAGTAAACCTAATAATTTAAATGTGTGTATTTATATCCAATATGATTAAACTGTCCGTGTCCCAAAAGTCCCCCCAACCCAAAATTAGAAAGCACACGAGCCTGTCAGTCTCTCTACTAAGACCATCCAATAGAATTCTGATTTTTTTCAAACTTCGCATTTTAACATGCTGTATGTTGGAACACTCAGTTGTGCTGCTTTTTGCTTTTGCTTATTAAAAAGACTTCCAGGAATCCAGCTGCTGAGTAAATGTGCTTGCTTTTCTTGCCTTTGTTCAGATGTTACGTTATGTGAGGAGGCTTTCTTCAGGTTTGCTGTTCCTACCAAGTTTACGCCTAACTGGCTCAGCGTCCTGGTAGATAATTTGCCTGGCACCAAAGTCAATGCCGAAAGTGTAGAGAGGATCAAGCGACGACACAGCTCACAAGAACAAACTTTCCAGCTGCTGAAGTTATGGAAGCAGCAAAATAGAGAGCAGGACATGGTCAAGAAGATCATTCAAGGTATGCTTGCCCAAAATTAACAAGTCGACGAGAAATCATGGACATCCCATTGTAAAACGGCCACAAGGCCTTGTGCTTGTGCGGGTATATGGGTGGCATTTCCTCTTGGGAGTTACTGCTGAACAACTGTTCACCGATAAGGTTGACATTGTTCCTGAAGAGTAGTCACGTGAAGTTTTGTTCTCTCTCCTGCAGCTATTTCTCTTTCATGTGCAAGGAATGCTCTAAAGAACAGAGATGCACTTCTAATGCAGTACTGGACCTTAGGGAATCTGCCTCTGACTGATCCCTTAGCTCCTTCTCAGCCGCCCTCTGGCTGAGCTAAATGGTCTTTAGCAGCTTTCGATCTTGGCTGGCACTTCTCCTCCAAAGCTGTGAGACTGAGACTGTGTTTGGCAGTTCTTTCCAGAGAGGCACAGATTGTCTGCTGGCATCTTGTCTCGGATCCTCACACATGGTCGCTATTCAATAACCATTCTGATAGCCTGTGTGGGAAGGATCAGTAAGATAAGGACTGAGAAGGGTTTGAGCTTCTTAGAAGAAAGGGCTGGTTAAGACCATGCAGTTGTGTATCCTAAAGGCTTCTAAAGCATCTTCTTTAGAAGTTGTATGGAAGAAAGGAGATGGGAGAGAGAGGGTGGGAAGGGAACGGTGACACAGAGAGGACACACAATGGCGGCAGAAGAAATCCCAGAGAGGAAATAAGGTGCACCCTTGTAGACTGAAGCTTTAGGATATATACTGTTAAGACTTCCCACCTCAATTGCCAGGAGGAGGATGTGCCAGAAAGATGAAGAGGTGGTTTCCTAATATAGACAGAGCCCAGGAGAAATTCGTTCCACTCTTCCCCAAACCCTGAAGTGCATTTCCCTATACTTTGCTGAAAACTTCAAAGTATCTGGAAGCAGAACAATAGATTTCAGGCAACTAACATCTTTTGACAGCTGAATGCTTTCACTTAAGCAAAGAATAAACTTTTCTTCTGTTGGTGGTGAAACAAAAGTGTTCTTTGAATGTATAACTAGCCCTGGAGCAAGAAGAAAGGAAAACAGAATCTGAAGCTGTTAGAATGGCAAGGAACTAACTTCTTCCCTACTTTATAAATGAGGACAGCCCAGAAAGATGAACTGACTCGCCTTAAGGCCCACAGATACTAAATGACTCTTGTCGTTAACAAAAATGTTAGTTACTCCCTCATCTGTTTATGCCCAAGCTCATTGTTGAAACTTCCTCCAGGCTATGTGTGTTCCCCTACCCCTGTGTTTTCAGATATCTGTTTCACAATGGCAGCTTTTCTAGAGCTGCATATATTTATTAAAGACAAGTGAGTAACATTTGTTGGATACCATGCAGAAAGCCTCCTGATAGTAAACAAGAAAAGATTCCTTGCCCCCCCCCCAAAAAAAAAGACTAGCGGAAGCAACACTTCCAGAATGCCTCAGTCAGATATCAACGAATAAAATTTTACATTACAAAATGGTAATTTGTAACATAAAATAGTGATTTTGAAATGAAAAAAAATATATTATGAAATTACTACCTTAATATTTTATTTTGGCTTTGCTGAAATGTTACAGTTCTAAAGTTTAAATCTTGAACACTAAGAGTCATGTGTCTACCTTTCTGCAGTTAATAGTCTAAGCTCAGAGCTTCTCACACAGCTTTGTTGGATGCCTAAGATGTGTAGCATATTATTCTGTTATAACACAAAAGAATATTGCTCTTAGCCTTCAGGAAGAGCTAGTGTCACTTAAGCCACCTTAAAAGAAGAAGAAAGAAAAGCTTATCCTTGACATAAAAATTATGAATTCTGCAGGAACCTTTCGCCTCGGGCTGCTTTGGGGATGGCATTCGGTGAATATAAATGACTGTTTCTTTGGGCGCTTGCTTCGCACAGATATCGACCTCTGCGAGGACAGGGTGCAGCGGCACATCGGGCACGCCAACCTCTCCTTCGAGCAGCTGCGCAGCTTGATGGAAAGCTTCCCGGGGAAGAAAGTTGGAGTGGAGGACATCGAAAGAACGAGAAAGACGTGCAAATCGAGCGAAGAGCTTCTGAAGCTGCTCCACCTGTGGAGGATAAAGAATGGAGACCAGGACACTCTGAAGGGCTTGATGCACGCGCTCAAGCACTTGAAGACGTACCACTTCCCCAAAACTGTTACCCACAGCCTGAGGAAGACCATAAGGTCCCTCCACAGCTTCCCCATGTACAGACTGTACCAGAAACTGTTTCTGGAGATGATAGGGAATCAGGTGCAATCGGTCAAAATAAGCTGCTTATAGCCGGAAGTGGTCATCGGACCGTTTCCTCCCAAGGGGCGGGATCTGCTGGGTGAGTAGATGGTAGCTTCCGCGCCTCAGGGGGACAGTGCTCGCTTCCTCTCACCTGTGCCTCAGTTTGCCACAGGGCGCTAAAAGGAGGTGTGATGTGCAGAAGGAACTAACGTCTGCCCCCAGCGTTCAGTGAAGCCCAAATAGCTCGTCCCACTGTCAGATCCAGCCCAGTACCTACTGAACACAGTTTTTCTATTACTGCTTGCAGTAATTCAACTGGAAATAATAATAATAACTAGACTCTATCATCCCTTTCCAAATATGGGAATGTCTGACTTTACTAGCGTTGAGATTTCAGCTCCCCTAGAGGCTTTTATTAGAAAGCCATATTTTTCCCTGTAAAAGTTACTAATATATCTGTAACTATCTTACAGTATTGCTATTTATATTCATTCAGATACAAGATTTGTACATATTATCATTTTAGAGAGAAATGGTATAAGACTTAATTTTAGAAAGAAAAATATATTCTGTTATTATTATGACAAATGAAAGAGATGAAATATATTTTTTAATGGAAACATTGTAGGATTTTCTAATAGGTATTGCTATTTTTCCTGTGTGGAGTGTTTTTACAATACGATGTTTTCTGCCTAAGCTGTAGTATTGTTTTATGAAAAATGCATTATTATTTGGTCAATTGTTTAATGTTGGAAAGTGTATGAAACACGCGATCTGAATATCAGATGCTCTGAGAAATTGAATGTATTTTATTTAAAAGATTCTTTGGTTTTACTGCATATAAACAACATCATTAAAGTTTTCAAATTATTTTCTATTGCTTTGCCTCTTGCTTGTATCTGAACGGGATGTTGGTGTGGGTCTTCAACCTCCGCGATTCCTGTGCTTTCCGTACCACATGTGGGAGTTGTTAAAAAATGCCAGTTGCTGGGCAAAGCTACTGAAAATCTCTAGGGAGGAGAGAAGAAACCTGTATTTCTAACAAGATCCAAAGCAATTATTATTTCACTGAAGCTGGAGAATTTCTGAGATCAGGATTAGTACACAGGTGGGGCCAGCCCCGCCCAGCTGCACCCACAAACATGGAGAAGCAGAAAGAGGGGAGCTCTTTTGGCTGCCCGCAATGGAAAGAGCGGCAGGAAAGAGAAGCTGATTGGGTTGAATGGTGTTTCCCCATAAAGCGCTTATGTCATAATCCCAAGAATCTGTGAATACTGCCTTGCTCAGAATAAGAGTCTGTAGATGTCATTATGGAGTTTTGAGATGAAATCATCCTGGGTTATCAAAGTGGCCCTAAATCCAGCGGCAATTGTCCTAAGGGACAGGCGACGTGGGCAGGCAGGAGGAAGTGAGGCAGTGGTGAGAGGGCACCCCTGCAGGCCCCAGAAGAGGAAGCGCAGCCATGTCCTGCAGCTTCCGTGGGGAGGGCAGCCCTGCTGACATCTCGATTTAGGATCTCTGGCCTCCAGAGCTGAGAGAGAATAAGCTGTTGTTTTAAGTCAGGCAGTTTTTTAACCATTAGCTACAGCAGCTGCAGGACATAAACACAGGTAGCATCCATACTTCATAAATGGCAGAAGAAGCTGATCCTGGGTTTTACAGGACCTGAAGTTCTAGCTCTTTTTCCTAATCTTGGGCTGGGAAGATAGCTCAGTAGAAGCAGCACTTGCCCGGCAAGCACAAGGTCCTGAATTCAGTACCGGGGAAAAAACAAGCAAACAAAAAAAAAAAAAACCCTTAAATTTTGGGGCTAGGGAGATAGCTCAGCAGCTTAAGTGCCTGGCTGGTGAGTGCAAAGTCCTGAGTTTGATCCCCATTACCAAAAACAAAACAAAAAAGTCATCTTTTTCCTAATCTTTTATCTCTGTATCTTTCAGTTTAAGCTTTCAAGTTTCTAGGAGAGACTGATTGTGTCCAGGTTGGGCTGATGGAAACACAGGGCCAAGGAGGGGCTCGCCTCCCTTACCAGTAACCCTATTCCTCTGTGAACAAGGGTCCACTGCACTCTGTCCTTTCCACATTTTACTGTGACTTATTAGAATGTGACATGGGCAGGAATTAACCTAATGTTTATGGAAGCCCATCAGACGTGGTTAGTGCAGAGACGAGCAGATCCGGGTCAATGAACGTGGAGCAAGCCTTCCACTGTTGGCATGGCGACGCGGAGGGGTCGGGTCCTAGCAGGAGGCCGGCGTGCACGGCGACACTCTGCACCTTCCTCCTTCGGAAGCTCCAGCTCATCTACTACAATTCTCATTTCCAGAGAACACAACGGTCTCCACCTGCTAGCTAAGTTTAAGAAGCGTTCCCCCACATGGCAGCAACCCTAGATTATTCAGAGTCTTTCATGCTTGGCCTTCCTTGCTAGCTGCTTCTCGAGGCCAACTTACCGCCAGCTTCCAAAGGAGACGAACTCCATGAACACCACGGCAGTCGAGTTTTCTTTCAACTTTTCATTCTGAAGCAATTTTCTCTTCCTTAGTCCTAGAATTAGAGTTTTTCTTTTTATTTAAAAGGGTATTTACATCTATGAATTTTCTGGGGGGCCGGGGAGATGGCTCAGCAGAATAAGTGCTAGCCTGGCAAGTGCAGGAGCTTGAGTTCAATCCCTGGTTCCGCCAAAAAATAAAATAAACAAAATAGTAAAACAAAATGGCTTTTAGAAACCAAAAGCTGGGTGCTGGGTATGTTCATTGCTACTGAAAAAAATCATTGCTTCTAGGCCTTCTTAATAACCAGAGCTATTAATAAGTAAATATATGCAAGCAAATTAACCCAAGTATGTGCACATATGTACTTAAGTGTATGTGTGTATTATATGTTCTGTCCCACATGTACATATACTCCACTGAACTCATTATAGCCTTCATCTTCCTCTCCTCTGATTATTCATAACTTCTTTCCTCAAGTTACAAACATGGCTCATTAAATCATTTATTTTCTTAATCATAGTTGTACATAAAGTATCTGTGTAATTGCTAAGAGGGGCTCTGTGAGAAATTTAACAAAAAAATTGCAGGGCCCTACCCAGGACCTCTCGTGTCTAGGGTGCTTAACACTTCCACCACCTCCAGTGTCTTACAAGGAATCTAGGACTTTCCATGGCCTTTACTACCTACTTGAGACCTTGTCTCTCTCATAGTCTGTTCTTTTTTCTTAGAAACCACTGAGCTCTTCCCCATCCCTGTAATTTTGCCTTCTCCAAATGTCACGAGAACCAAGTCATATAATTTGTTACCTTTGGTGTGACTTTCTTCCACTTAAGAAAATGCATTTCTGATTATTCACATTACTGTGTGACTCAATAGTTTATTCCTTCATATTTCATAGTATTTTATCAAAAGGATGAAACAGAGGTTCTAGTTATCCATTCCCTCCCTGTAGAGATTTTAATTGTCTTCTGTCTGAGGTGATGATGAATAAAGTTGCTATAAATACTTGTATAAAGACATTTATGTTCACATAAAACTTCAGTTATTACAGGTAAATACCAAGGGTTAAGATTACTGTGTCACACTCTAAGTGTATGATTAACTTTGTAAGAAAGTATCCCTCTTTTCCAACAGACTGGACCATTTTGTATTCTGCTGAATGCGTGAATGAAAGCTATTGTTCTACAGTACTGCCGCTCCCTCATACTGTTGGCTTGATTTATTTTTATTTTCATCATTTCTGTGCTCTGCAGTGGTGCCTTGCTCTGTCTTTAGTTTGCATTTGCCTGGACTAGCTGGAGTAGTCTGCTAGGGCTGCTGTGCCAAAACACTGTGCACTGAGGTGGTTTAAGCCGTGACATTTTATTTCTCACAGTTCTGGAACTTGGAAATCTTGGCTGAGGGTGCTATCAGACTGATTTCTGGCTACATCTTCCTTACTGGCTTATAAGTTCACACCTGGTCACATTCTTACAAGCTCTTTCCTCTGCAAAGCCAGAGAGAGCACTGGTGCCTCTTCCTCTTCTTACAAGGAATCTACCTAAGATTTTCCTTAGCCTTAATTACCTACTGAAAGACCTTGTTTCAAAAATCCATTCAGCTGAATTGAATGGGTTTTCCAGGCCAGGTTTTTTGAGGAGTCTCCACACTGATTTCCATAGTGGTTGCACCAGTCTACATTCCCACCCAGAGTGGAGAAAGGTTCCTTTTTCCCACAGCCTCTCCAGATTTTGTTATTCATTGATTTCTGTATGATAGCCATTCTTTCTGGGGTGAGATGGTATCTCAATGTTGTAACAATTTGCATTTCTCAAAAGGCCAGTGCTGTGGAACCTTTTTTCATGTATTTATTTTCCATTTGTGTTTCTTCCTCTGAGAAGTGTGTATTCATCTCAGATGCCCATTTTTGAATTGGGTCTTTAAATTTTAGGGGCCGAATTTTTTTTTAGTTCTTTTTATGATTAGAAGTCCTTGGCCTGAGTGATCGTTGGTTATGATTTTTTTCCAATTTTAGAGTTATCTTTTCACTCTTTTAGTGATTTCTTCTGACAGGCAGAAACTTCTCAATAAGAGGAGATCCCAGTTGTTGATCCTTTGGAATATTTCCTGTGTCATTTGGTTTTAATTCATGAACTATCTGCCTCCTCTTAGTCTTCAAGATTTCTACCTACTTTCTCTTCCAGGAGATACAGTGTTTCTATTTTAATGTTTAGATCTTCAATACATCTAGACTTTAAGATATTTCCCTTCTGGGTATTTTCCAAAAAGAAATGAAAACACCATACCATAGTGATATATGTGCACCTATGTTTATAGCAGCACAATTTGCTGTAGCCAAATCTTGGAAACAACCAAAATGCCCATGACTTGCGGAATGGATGAAAAATGGATGAAAAATGTATTTTTATACAATGGAGTACTACTCAGCTATAAAGAAAGACAAACTCGAAGTCTTTATAGGTAAGTGGCTGCAACTAGAGGCTATACTCATAAGTGAAATAAATCAGACTCACATGTATAAATATCATGTTGCCTCTCTAGTGTAAGAACCTGAAAGAATAAATAAAACCTGAAAGGTATAATAGATATAGAAAAATGGAAAGAAATAAAACAACAAAGATGAGAGGAAAAAAAGAGGGGGGTAAAAACATGCAAGTAAACATACAGGATGACTGAGATGATTGTATTAATAATTTCCATCAGTTTTTTTTTAAATAGCAGTTAATGTTTAGAATTTTTCACCTTGACTAATTCTATATGCTGAAATCCATGATCTGAGCAACTACACTGAGGACAACAATGTGTAATCAAAACCATGGTTAAATACCTCTCATCTTGGTCTTCTAAATGTATACCATTTCTAATGTCTTATCAATTATTATACTCTCTTTAAAATAATTTTTTTAAAAAGACGGAAAAAATTTAAGATTTCTTGAAAGCAAGTGTTACTATTCAATTATTTGCCCAATCTTGCATAACTATATCTGTTAATCTGAGCAACAGATTTGACAATAAAAGTAGATGATGTAACAACCGCTGTTAATTTGCTATTACTGTTTTGAATATCCATGACATATGTATTGTTACATATTACTGTTTATGTATTTTTTTTCTATTTGTTCTTGCTTCTTTTTTTACTCTTCAAAATAAAATTAGGGGAAATACTCCTTTAAGGTGTAGGGCCTTAACACATGGATCAGAGGAGGACCCCACCGACTCCGTAACTCTTTTTTTTCCACCTCTCCTCTAAGAAGTCTCTCTTTTTTTTCTGACTCTGTAACTCTAATGGTGCTAAGCTAATCATTAGATTTTGGTTGTTTCCAAGATTTGGTTATGGTAACTCGTCATGTATTTATTGGTG